GATTGTGAGGTCAAGCTGCAGCTTAGTTAGCTTATGCCTTTTTCCAGCATTCATCATCATGTAGCAGGTCCCTTAAAGAAACTTGGTCTCTCGCCAGCTCTCCCGCCTCACTTACTTTAATCTTCAAGGAATCACTTATATCCTGTGCCCATCTTCGTATTGCGTGGTCTCGAGGCATAGCGTCCGCCCCAAGTGCTGGAGGTCTCGGGTTCAAGTCCCGGTGAAGGCTAGGATTTTTATCACGGGGACTTCAAATAATTTCCCCTGGTCTCTGGGTAGTAAGATCGGACGCCTGTGTGTATTGTTGCCCACGTAAAAAAATCCATTGGCAGTTGGAAATCGAAAAAGAGTAGCATAACGGCGCTGCCCGGGCAACATTTGGAGTTCTTGATCTACCCAAAAGTATTTCAGGATCCTCGCCGGTTCTACAGAGTTCGTGCACTGCGCTGAGCTTTCTCAGACTCAGGCTTGAGTCAGAGGTAGAACGGAGCACTAATGGGTTACTACTCTTGTGCCGTGATGTCGATCCGTCGTCTAAACCTAAACCTAAACCTAACTGCAGTACGCTAATCCAGCTTAGGGGCAAATGTTGGTTATTGTTATACTTCCTGGTCACAAAATCTGAATAGAGGACATCATTATAGAAGGACTCGGGTTACCTGAGATATCCGACAACACTACCTGATGATATGACTATGATGAAATTTACCTGATATATTCCCCAGCTCTACCTGATGTCCCATAAAATTACCTGATATGTCCCACAAGATTACCTGATGTGTTCCAAACAAGATATTTTATGTTATCTCATTCACATGCGTGCTCAGTCCTCCGATGCAGCAGCACTTCCAAGGAACTTCTACTAATTGTTCCCATGAGAGGTTTGTTATAATGTCGCCTATCTCGGCCTCGAAGGCGGCTTACCATGCTTTACTCCCATGTCACGCAATGGTGTTAGTGTCAGAGATTGGTCATTATCCACTAGCCCAGTTCCTTTAGCTCTAAAGCTATCTTCTCTGCCCATGTTTCTTCCCACGTGTGATGGTGCCCTGCTTGCCACTTGGTCCGCTCCCTCATTAACCTTTTCATGGCTAGGTGTGTAGATCCAGGTGAGGAAGGTTAAGGGCGATTTTCAAATGCTTTCTACCCATCCAGCGCGCTTACCGCATGTTGCTATCTTCTGAAGCATGTTCATGGAGTCTGATACAATTACTGCAGGTGTAGCTGTTTGCTCTGCCAGTGCTCTAGAAGCAGCAGCTATCTCCATGGTCATGCTTGATGTAGTCTTGTAAGCGCCCCTGTCTTCTTGTATTGTTTCTCCCATCCTTTGCGCTGTGTGTGCCAATGCTGACATAGATTCGCGCTTTACTGATCCATTTATGTAGATTATGATGTCTTCTGTGTGTGAGCGCTGATCTGTCGGTGCCCTTACCTCTGTGTCTACGGCCGCAGGAGTCTGATTCCTGCAGTACCTCCCCAGTATGACGACAACCTTAGAGATGCTATGCATGTCTACTCGTACATTCGTCCATTCTTTTCTGTGATTGATCTCGTCTAGGTCACATACCTACTGGATTCAATCTTCAGCTTTGATGATCCAGGAGCGACCTCTTTTGAAACACATACCTTTTGTGTCTTGTATAGCTTTGTGCAGTGGGTGGTTAACGTCAGCTGATACGCTCATGTAAGCCTAGACCTATGCAACTTTGTGTCTGTTAGCCATCGTCGGCAAAACCAGGATATATCGCATGGCGTGGCAGGGGGTGTCTTTTGTGCAGCCGAATATAAGTATCATGGCTTATTTTGTTCTTGGTCCAGTCTTTCTAGCGGGGTTCAGCTGACAGTGAGGAGGCCCAGACCATAGTCAATGACGCTTAACACAAGCCCTTGACAGAGACGGCAAAGAAGTTGTTGTTTAATATCAGCTGCTGCTAGCTCCTTAAGTGCTGTCAGACCTTTCTGGCTCTAAGTATGACGTTGTCTACGCGATACCTATATGACATGCACCTGTCAAATGTCATGTTCAGGTATTTACCCGTCCGTTCTCTCGATGTCCACACCACACATGCTTGCGACTGGCATGGGTGTACTGACAATGTGGGTGTCTCCACAAGATTGCCTTATATGTTCTACAATGCTACCTGATATGTCCCCCTCCCCGCCCCCCCCCCCCCCCCACTCCATTTGATATGTCCCACAACGCTATGTGATCTGTCTCCCAAAATTACCTGATTTGAACTACACCTTTTACCGATATATTCCACAATGCTACTTGATATGTCAGACAAGATTACATACAGTGTTCCACAAGATTGCCTTATATGTCCTACAAGGCTACCTGCTATAATTTATAACGTTACATATATTCCATACAAAACTATTATACATGCCCCACAACGTTACGTGACATGTTTGAAAATAATTACCTGATGTGTCCTAGATTACTGATTTAAGAATCGACATTATATTGCATCCGGCATACCTATAGATGCTTTGTCTCCTGCAGCAAATGACGTAAGGTGTAAGTACTAACTGTTCCCGTAGCACACTGATTATACACAAGCTGATCTCTTCCTCTCATCCGTCCCTCCTTGTCGGATCCACACCTAATTCCTCGTTAACACACTCTTGCCCATGTTATTTCTTCCAATCTCGTGTCTTCTACTAAAAGTCGTTCATATATGATTTTCAGAAAATCCACATTTTCCCATACGAGTCACATAAACTATACAGAGCCATGTCCTAGAAAGATACATGAAATGTCCTTCAAAAATACCTGATGTGTCCATGCGATATCTTCGCTTTTCGGTCCAACAACCCTGATTTTCCACAAACTTGTTGAAGACATGCTTGCGGATTTCTTCTCTTTTTTTCTTTACCAGTTTTAGAAGCCAGTGGTGCGTGTAAGAAGGTTAGACCTGCGAAGTCGCATAATGCAGTTTGTGGAATGTCACCGAGTCATGTTTCGGCATAATACATGCCAAGTGGTGTAGAAAAATAAGGTTGGCGTGTCAGGGTGGTTTGTGCGGTATAGGTGGCTTTGTGAGGTATAGGTGGCTTTGTGGGGTATATGTGGCTTTCTGGAGTATAGTTGGCTTTGTGGGACATATCAGGTAGATCTGTGGTAAACTGGTGGCTTTGTGGGACATAATGTGGCTTTGTAGTAAGTAAGTGGCTTTGTAAGACACATAAAGTATATAGGTTAGTATAGAGACAGACATAAGCGTATGCAGACATTTAGACAGACAGAAAGACATCCAAACGAACGTGAGGACGGGCGGGCAGGCGGACAGACGGGCGGACGGATAGACGGACGTGCGGTCGGATAGGCAGACAGACAGACAGACAGACAGACAGACAGACAGACAGACAGACAGACAGACAGACAGACAGACAGACAGACAGACAGACAGACAGACAGACAGACAGACAGACAGACAGACAGACAGACAGACAGACAGACAGACAGACAGACCACTTGGCCATGAACACCCCTACGGCGTGCTGTTGCCTACCTCCAGGGAATAAGCCTTGGTGTTCAGACATATCTGGAGAAAATTATAAGGAAACTGAAACAAGAGTGTACTGTAGGAGAATCTACAAAAATACTTGGATATGCAGATAACATTGATATCGTTGGAGAAAATGAACTAGAGACTGTTAAAACTGACTCTCTTAAAAGAATCAGCTCAGAAAATGGGACTAGTTGTCAATCAAGATAATACAGAATACATGATAATAACTAGACAGGGAAAAGATATAAACTCCGGCCACACGCAAGTCGATAATATGAAAATCAAACGAACGGAAACACATAAGTACTTGGGTGCAAAATTCAACTACGCCAAAGTGTTGAGAGAAGAAATACAATCTAGAATACAATCTGGAAAAAAAGCATTCTGTACCTTTCAACATCTGCTAAAGTTAAAGTGTCTGTCTCGCAACACCAAGATCAGTATATATAAAACGTCGATAAGACCAGATGTGTTATATGGCTCTGAAACTTGGAGAACAGCTAGAAGAGATGAAGCCTTTATTACAGGTTTTCGAAAACAGTCTTACGACAAATCTTTGGACCCATCAAAGATGCAAGTAGTGGTGAATGGAGAATAAGAAGCAACGAAGAAATTCATGTTTTTTTGTTTTGTTTTTTTTAAGTATCCAGAAGCCATGAGTTGTAAACCCTTTGGCTCGGTATTATGGATATCGCAACATTTCTGCCTTGATTCCATTTTGGTACCCTTAATCTGGGATAAATGTGGATTTTCTGCCTACCCCCGGGAGTGAACCCGGACCACAAGGAGTTCGTCACCCGGCCGCCGCGAAAGTCAGGTTTAACCAATTACGCTAGAGACTGATCACTGGCATCATGAGAGTTAATAGACTGAAATGGTTGGGACATACTGATGACAGAGAAGTAAAAACTACACACAAGGGATATGATTGGTCGTAGACCACGAGTCAGACCAAGAAGACGATGGAGAGATAATATCCAGACAGACCTGCAAACACTTAGTGTCACCAACTGGAAAGAGAAGGCCAACGAGAGAGAGAGAGAGATGAATGGAGGCGGGTAATATCTGCAGCAGTAAACCTCAAGGGCTCGGAATGCTGAAGAAGAAGAAAAAGGTCACATATCTCACGCAATAGCCAGGAAATATAAAGTTTACTGCGCTGTAAGTTGTTTCGGTGTGGATGCGTCATTTCCGTGTAGTGTAAGAATCCTTATCTACTAACGTGATGTGGTCCAGGCTTATTGAAGCACCAACCATAACTATTTTTTCTCTTTATTATCTCGTGTTTCCATATTTATATTGCATGCTCTGTTCAAATCTTTGGCGGCGTGTGTGTGTGTGTGTGTGCGCGCGCGCGCTTTAAGGTTGGAGAAAACTGTGTCTGATTTGTTAGATAAGGTAAAGCAGTGCATTCGTAAACGTGTTGTCGTTTTTATTATTGTTGTGTTGAGGATCTATCTTGGTCGTGACTTGTTATTTCGCCCTCTATTCCAGAGTGATCTTAGGTCCCTGTGTGATCTTAGGTCCCTGTGTGATCTTAGGTCCCTGTGTGATCTTAGGTCCCTGTGTGATCTCAGGTCCCTGTGTGATCTTAGGTCCCTGTGTGATCTTAGGTGTCTGTGTGATCTTAGGTCCCTGTGTGATCTCAGGTCCCTGTGTGATCTTAGGTGTCTGTGTGATCTTAGGTCCCTGTGTGATCTTAGGTCCCTGTGTGATCTTAGGTCCCTGTGTGATCTCAGGTCCCTGTGTGATCTTAGGTGTCTGTGTGATCTTAGGTCCCTGTGTGATCTTAGGTCCCTGTGTGATCTTAGGGCCCTTAGTGATCTTAGGTCCCTGTGTGATCTTATGGCCCTTAGTTATCTTAGGTCTTCTTCTTCTTTTGCTTCTTCTTTCTCGCGTTCGCCGGCTGTAAACTTCGGCTGAAAGTTCTGGTTGTTCGTCCACCTCTGGACTCTCTTCTAGTCCTGTTCCAGAACCTGCACATCCAGTTCACGGGTATGACTCATTTGCATGCAGACTGTTAGTTCCTTGCCTCTCAGGCAAATGTACTCCAACTTCAAATAAATCTCTAAATTAGTCGACTCTTACGACATGCTTTTGTGCAGGCAGTGGGTCTGTTTGTTTTTGTTTTTCTCACAATGGGGCCCCGGAACCCACAAGGTTAGGGTCATGGGTGATCTTACTCCCTCAGAGAGCTTATGGCGCTTAGTGATCCTGTGCCGTTTGTATAACCATTCAGGGATGCAATTTGAGCCCAAAGAGTTTGGGTTAGAATCGACACCAGATGGCTTTTGGTTATTTAATTGTATACGACCCCATCTCGTCGGCTTCGAGAATTCGTTTGGAATTTCTACGTGTTTTTCCGGACAGAACCATATTATGGAAAGGGGAGAGGGGTGTGAGGATTAGACCTAGTGTTAAATGAATAGCGACTGCTACTTGAGCCTAACCAAAACCCCCTATCTATAGTATGGGATGTTCTGGGAAATTCCATGCCAAATCTCGAAGCCCGCGAGATGGGGTAGTCTAAAATTAAAGGACCTGGCTGTTCATAAATTGCCCTGGCTCCCGTGTCGACAGCTGAAAATGGGTACAAGAAACTGTCAGGGGACGTAAGCGACGCCTGCGTGTTGTTGAGTAAATCACTCGTCAAATTTCTTTTGATGTAAATTACATTTTTTCCTAAAGTGGGCGCTACAGCTGGGGCAGTCTAGGGGAGGGGGGAGGGGCGTTAGCGGCCTCGATAAAATTTAGGGAGCACTGGGACTGTCCTAGGGGGTGAGGCGGTAGGAGCTTCGAGTGCAGTTAAGTGCACTGAAGAAAATTAAATCAACAGTTAAGGAAATTATTAATTAGAATGACGTGATGTTGTTGACATGTTTACGACTGTTTCAGTTTTGTGAAGAGATTAAATTCCTTGTGTTTTTTTTTTACTTGTTATTACTTATTACTAATCAGGTTAAATCTTCTCCTAAACATAACTTCAACCATTTTTTTGGGTTTTTGTTTTAATATTAGTTTTCCCTACACTTGTCCACACCGTATGGGAGGCCGGTCTGAGCAGGAAATTCTGCAAGCAGAAGTTAGTCACAATATTTATTCTTAGATAAGAGTCTTTCTGTACCAACGATTGACTAGATGTAAAATGGACAGTCGGACTGTACCAACGATTGACTGGAGGTAAAATGGGCAGTCGGACTGTACCAACGATTGACTGGAGGTAAAATGGACAGTCGGACTGTACCAACGATTGACTGGAGGTAAAATAGACAAGACAGTCGGACTGTAGCAATGATTGGCTGGAGGTAAAATAGACAAGACAGTCGGACTGTACCAACGATTGGCTGGAGGTAAACTAGACAAGACAGTCGGACTGTACCAACGATTGGCTGGAGGTAAAAAAGAAAAGACAGTCGGACTGTACCAACGATTGGCTGGAGGTAAAATAGACAAGACAGTCGGACTGTACCAACGATTGGCTGGAGGTAAAATAGACAAGACAGTCGGACTGTACCAACGATTGGCTGGAGGTAAAATAGACAAGACAGTTGGACTGTACCAACGATTTGCTGGAGGTAAAATAGACAAGACAGTCGGACTGTACCAACGATTGGCTGGAGGTAAAATAGACAAGACAGTCGGACTGTACCAACGATTGGCTGGAGGTAAAATAGACAAGACATTCGGACTGTAGCAACGATTGGCTGGAAGTAGAATCGACAAGACAGTCGGACTGTACCAACTATTGGCTGGAGGTAAAAAAGAAAAGACAGTCGGACTGTACCAACGATTGGCTGGAGGTAAAATAGACAAGACAGTCGGACTGTACCAACGATTGGCTGGAGGTAAAATAGACAAGACAGTCGGACTGTACCAACGATTGGCTGGAGGTAAAATAGACAAGACAGTCGGACTGTACCAACGATTGGTTGGAGGTAAAATAGACAAGACAGTCGGACTGTACCAACGATTGGCTGGAGGTAAAATAGACAAGACATTCGGACTGTACCAACGATTTGCTGGAGGTAAAATAGACAAGACAGTCGGACTGTACCAACGATTGGCTGGAGGTAAAATAGACAAGACAGTCGGACTGTACCAACGATTGGTTGGAGGTAAAATAGACAAGACAGTCGGACTGTACCAACGATTGGTTGGAGGTAAAATAGACAAGACAGTCGGACTGTACCGACGACAGGCTGGAGGTAAAATTAACCGACAGTCGGCCAGTAAATTGAGTTAGTCTCTTGGGCAGTGTAAAAGCACCTAGTCTTTATCTTTATCTTCATTTTTTTTTTTTCATTTACTTTGTATTTTTCATGTACTTATTGTCAGTACATTTGTCACTGCATCTTTCTGCTTGACAAACGGAAAATTAGATTGGGGGGGGGGGGGGAGGGGGGCGGAGAAGATAAATACATTGATGACTTGGCATTAGGCATGGACGGGACAAGAGCTCTGACCCGATCCGTGTTACTGCTGATCGTGTAGGATGATGTATCGTATCGCTTGTAATCACTGGCACGGTACATGAAGATGATTATGTTTTTTCCTTTATTACAGTTTCTTATGTTGGCGACCCCCAACAATATAAATATTTTCGTGGCTACTACATCTTCTTCTTCTTCACTTCTTCTTCTTCACTTCCTCTTTTACCGCTGTGGGTGTCGAGGGAGATATAAGGTTCTGTTTCTAGCTCTTCTGGCTGCCTCGACCATAGGCACATCGTGCTGTTGTAGAGTTTCTCTGGTGTTATCCTTCCATCTTGTTCTTGGTCTACCCCGTGCTTTACGACCTTCTTCTCTTTCCATGTATGCTTTGTATGGTATGGTGTCACAAGGCATTCTCTCTAAGTGGGCAAACCATTTATTTCACTTGCTGTCTTTGTATGTAATCCAGAATTGGTTCTGTGCCGACTTGTTCTCTTATGATCTCATTTCTGATCTTATCTCTTATGGTCACTCCTACAGCCCTTCTCAGACATCTCATTTCCGTGGTTACTAATTTTCTTTTATGGTTGGTTGTGAGTGACCATGTCTGGCACTGGTAGCACAGAGTTGGAATAAATATGCTTTGAATAAGATGTCTCTTTGTGCTGACTGGGATTGTCTTATGCTGTAAGAGGGGGGCTAGCTGTCCCAATACTTGGTTTGCTTTACTGCATCTAATGTCAATTTCTTTATCCAATTTCCCATCTTCGGTAAATGTAGTTCCCAGATATTTAAACTCAGATGCCTGTTTAATGCCTTTGTATTCTATTGTTATGTTTAGATCTGTCTTCTTTTTTCCTATTGACATTACTTCTGTCTTTTCAGTGTTGATTTTCATATTAATTGTTTTACATTCTTCATTCATGGATGTTAGATGTTGTTGCAATTTCATGGCTGTATCTGCTACCAAGGCCTGGTCATCTGCAAAGAGTAATTCGTTGATCTTACTAAGATCTTCATTCAAGGGCTTGGCATTCTTGCATATACTGTCGATGTAGGTGATAAACAGCAGTGGTGATAAGACACACCCCTGTCTTACTCCATATGTCACTGTGAAAGGATGTGAAAGGCTACTACATAACTTCAGTAAATATGTGCTTTCCGATGGTTTTTGGCAACCCACGTGAAAGGATCGTTCGACCCACAAAAGGAACGCGACCCACAGGTTGCGAAACGCTGCTATTACCATAGAACTCAGGAACTTCAATTTTATGGTTGTTGTGGTTTTTCGAGGCAAATTTTACGTTCTGTAGTTTGACACTGCCTCTAAAAGGTCAGCTCTCGGTACCACAGTCAAAAACAACGCAAGAATATCTGCTGTCAAATCGTCCGCAGCTGAGATCGAGCCAGGCATCTCGGCATTACGAAGCGCGTTCGCAACAACTAGGCTACAGACACCGACAAAGGGAAGTAACATTGTGTTTTTCTGGTTTTTAGAATGATCAGAATACAGTAACGGTGACGTCCCCTGTTTTGGGAAGTCCTAAGCAAGAATTGCATAAATAGGCAGATGGGGGTAGGGAAAAAAAATTATCGTTATTCATACGTCCTTATTAGGGCGTAATTTTTTGATATTTGAAGCCCCACTCTGGCTTTTTCCAGGGGCCGCAATATAGGCAGGTCATCATTATGGCCAAATGTCTGAACGCGGTTTCTGGGACCTCTCCACGGTGATCCTCATCCGCATGGTGGCACTTTGTGTCATCGGGTGTTTATCGCTTGTGTGATGTCCTGGTGGGGTAGAAATTCAGTCAGTCAGTCAGGGAAAAAAAGGAATTTTTTTTTTGGGGGGGGGGGGGGGGGGGGGGGGGGGGTCACTTAAGGCCGTAGAAATAGTATTTCAAAAAATAATACACAAATAGACAGATACTGATCGGCACTCACAGAAAGAAGTAGAAAGATAGTAGGACACATAAGACAACATAAAAATTGAAAGATATACATTCAGTCATCTCCTTGTGAGATGCAATTTTTCGTTATTGGAGGCCCTACTCTGGCTCTTGTCAGGGGCCGCAATATAGCCTGGCCATATATATGATCCAATGGCTGAATGCGGTTTCCTGGACCTCTCCACGGGCGATCCTTATCCGCATGGTGGCACTTTGTGTCATCGGGTGTTTATTGCTTGTGTGATGTCCTGGTGGGGTGTAAAATCTTCTCTTCTACTCTGGAAAGTTTCGGTAATCATGCCGGAATCGAACGTCACTTCCAAATTACTTCTTTCTATGAATACCTACCTATATATATCTTGTCATCCCCCTTTTTTTAGGATGCAATTTTTCGTTATTTAAAGCCCTACTTTCGCTCTTGCCAGGGGCTGAACACGCTTTCTGGGACCTCTCCACCGGTGATCCTCATCCGCATGGTGGAACTTTGTGTCATCTGGTTTTTATCGCTTGTGTGATATCCTGGTGGGGTAAAAAAAAAAGATAGATAATTTCGATCAATACATTGTCTGTTTAT